CCACCTTAGGTGTATGTGGCTGGCGCCTTAGCCACTTGAGCCACAGGCGCCAAGCCAACCTCTAACTCTTGGACTCAAAGTGATGCTCTTGCCTCAGCCTCCTGAGTAGCTGGGACTATAAGCACCTGCCACAACACCTGGCTATTTTTAGAGATGGGGGTCTCGCTCTTGTCTCAAACCTGTGAGCTCAGACTATACACCTGCCTCAGCCTCCCAGAGTGCTAGGATTATAGGCATGAGCCACTGCGTTCAGCCATAGATACTATTACCTTTTTCCATATTCTGACCACTATTCAATAATTCACAGCACTATTCTAAAATATCCAAATTCTACATCAAGTTTTATTTTTAAAACAAATTTTAGGCTTTAATGTTTTTCTTCCTTTAGATTATGCCAAATGGTAGAAAATCAATTCTCTTTTCCTATTTATTTAGAAGTACCTATGTAAGACAAATGGGCACTTGATATTTATATGTTAAAAGGCAAGCTTGGCTGGACACAGTGACTCATGCCTGTAATTCAAGCATTTTGGGAGGCAGAGGTAGAAGGATCACTTGAGCCTAGGAGTTTGAGAACAGTCTGGGCAACAGAGTGAGAACTCCACCTGTACAAAAAATAGAAAAATGAGTCAGGTGTTGTGGCACATGCCCGTAGTCCCAGCTACTCAGAAAGCTAAAGCAGGAGGACTGCTTAAGCCTTGAAGTTTGAGCTTGCAGTGAGCTATGATGACGACACTGTACTCTAACTCAGGCATCAGAGAAAGGGTCCTATCCCAATATTTATTTATTTATTTTTCAGACAGAGTCTCAAGCTGTTGCCCTGGATAGAGTGCCATAGCATGACAGATCAAAGAAACCTCAAACTCATGGGCTTAAGCAATTCTCTTGCCTCAGCCTTCCAAGTAGCTGGGACCACAGATGCCCACCACAATGCTCAGCTACTTTTTTTCTTTTTGGTTGCAGTTTTTTGCTGGGGCCAGATTTGAATGTGCCACCTCTGGCGCCATACTCCTTGAGCCACAGGCGCTGCCCTTGGCTACTTTTCTTGTTGTTGCAGTTGTCATTGTTGTTTCACTGGCCCAGGCCAGGTTTGAACCCACCAGCCTCGTATATGTGGCTGGTGCCATAAGCACTGTACTACAGGCACTGAGCTCCTATCCCAATTTTTTTTTTTTTTTAAAAGCCAGCTTGGCGCCTGTGGCTCAAGCAGCTAAGGCACCAGCCACATACACTTAAGGTGGCAGGTTCGAATCCAGCCCGGGCCCGCCAAACAATAATGATGGCTGCAACCAAAAAATAGCCAGGTGTTGTGGTGGGCGCCTGTGGTCCCAGCTACTTGGGAGGCAGAGGCAAGAGGCTCGTTTGAGCCCAGGAGTTGGAGGTTACTGTGAGCTGTGTTGCCATGGCACTCAACCCAGGGCGACAGCTTGAGGCTCTGTCTCACAAAAAAAAAAAAAAAAAAAAGCCAATCATAGGCAGCGCCTGTGGCTCAAGTGAGTAGGGCACCTGCCCCATATACCGAGGGTGGCAGGTTCAAACCCAGCCTGGCCAAACTGCAACAACAGAAAAAATAGCTGGGCATTGTGGCAGGTGCCTGTAGTCCCAGCTACTCTGGAGGCTGAGGCAAGAGAATGGCCTAAGCCCAAGAGCTGGAGGGAGGTTGCTGTGAGCTGTGATGCCATGGGACTGTACCGAAGGCAACAAAGTGAGACTCTATCTCAAGAAAAAAAGCCAACCATAAGCCATAAAGCTGTAGAAAAATATACTACTGAAAAGCTTTTATATATAGAAGTCACATAAAACAATTAGAAGATTAGTATCATCTAGTTATAATGATACTCAGTATAAATATTGCTCTTTCCTATCCCCAGGAGACTATGTTAGGACTTCATTTTAATATCTAGCCTATATTCAGCCCTTAAGAAAGATTTGAAACAAACATGTCCATCTTACCAGACAACCTTCCATCTAGAGGCCATACTTACTTTTCTCTATCTGTTTTGTAGATCCGAGCAATCTCAGGCACTAAAGGATCATCTGGATTAGGATCACACAACAGAGAACAGATGGACAAGAGTACTAGAATGAACAAAACATATAAATTAGTAGAGGATAAAAGGAAAGGGCTGAAGAAATACGCATATGAGAAAATTCTAAGAAGCTATCTTATTTCTCTCTAATGTTCTGTACCAAGAGGCAGTTAACTCTTGAGACCACTTTATTGCCAAACAAGGAAGAAAAGATTTATTCATTTTCCTATCTAATCTATTCTATAGAGATCAAGGGCTTCTCAGAGGTGAAGAAAAAGCTGACATGCCCTTTATCATTGTTTGGTAGAAAAATGCTATTTCTTTGCCTTAAGAGTATATGAGGAAAAAAAAAATTAGGAAAGATGTTTTCTGACTCTTCATTCCCACTGTCCACAATGGTAGATGCTATTTCCAAAATATCTTCTCTTCCCATTGTCAGGTGTTCAACTCATGCTCTCTTAATGCCCATAACAACCTAACAGCAATTAGGAAAGATTTCGTGTATTTCCTGGAAATTACAACGAGGAGTTACAGATTTTTGAATGCTCATGAAAATTATTGACCATCGAAAGAAGGAACTTATCTGGCCTATCAAATTGGCAATAGTACAAATGATTTTTCACCTGAAATGAGATATACAGTCTAACCCTTGAATAACACGAGTTTGAACTGAATGGGTCCGCATATACATGAATATTCTTTCACCTGTCACCCTTAAGACTGCAAGACCAACCCCTCTTCTTCCTCAGCCTACTCAACATGAAGATGACAAGGATGAAGATCCTTATGATGATCCACTTCTACTTAATGAATAACAAATATATTTTCTGGCCAGGTGCAGTGGCTCACGCCTGTAATCCTAGCACTCTAGGATGCTAGTGTGAAGTCCTTGAGCTCAAGAGTTCGAGATCAGCCTGAGCAAAAATCAAGAAAACTGTCTCTACTAAAATAGAAAATCTGGGCTTGGCGCCTGTGGCTCAACCGGCTAAGGCGCCAGCCACGTACACCTGAGGTGGCGGGTTCAAATCCCCAGCCCGGACCCGCCAAACAACAATGACGGCTGCAACCAAAAAATAGCC